ATATCAACAATAAAATCTCATTTAAACTTTGGGAAACTTGTCGAAGTGCATTTCAAAGGGAAATAGCCATGTTCGGATCTTCCACTTCTCTCACTTGCTTGTTTGCCAGATGCCAAGGACTGAGTGTGTCAGGAGAGACATTTGCTTATTAGAGGAAGTGAGAAGTGGAGTAATGTGGCTGCAGAGAAGATCCCAGACTCAGAAGAAAGGGAAGGGGTGAGGCGCCGGGGCAGCCATGGCAATAAAAGCATCATCGTGTAGATCGGGCGGCGTGCTACCTCCGCTGCTGTAGTCAGACGCCGTCAGGTCATTTTTGACTCCATGCTCAACAGAGCACAACACTGCTCGGTCCTGCACCATGCTCCCAACCCCTGCTGTGCCAGGGCCCAGTGTGGTGGCCACTGAGTCATCCACGCTACTGAAGGGCTTCCTTTTCCTCACTGACCTTCTTCTGCTCAATCTCCAGGGCCTGGCCTCCCCTCATAATATGGCCGCAGTATGTGAGGTAAAATCGCACCTCTCTGGCTGTAGTCTCACTGCAGATGTAAACAGCCAAGAACTCTGTCTTGGCTATAAGCCTCACCAACTTGATTATAATAAAATAATTGATGCCTTTGAGCTGTGGTGCTGGAGAAGAGTACTGAATGTACCATGGACTGCTAAGAGAACAAACAGGTTCGTTCCGGAGACAGTGAAACCAGGACCCTCCTTGGAGGCAAGGATTCTGAAGCTTCGTCTGACATACTTTGGGCATGTTGCCAGAAAAGAACAGTCCTTGGAGAGGGACGTCATGCCTGGGAGGGTGGAGGGACAGTGCAAGAGAGGAAGACCCTTGATGAAATGGATTGACTCAGTGACTAGGGTAATGGTGGTGGGTGTGCCAGAGACAATGAGGTTGGCTCAGGATAAAGCACAGTTCAGAGCTGTTGTGCATAGATTTACTATGAGTTGCAAGAGACTCAACAGCACATAATAACCACCACACCACCATTACAAGTGTGGGGAGAGGCATCAGCAGACACACCCCTGAACAAGGATGCTGACGGGGAACAGTTATATATAAGGGTGAATATATGTAGAAATAGCACATGACAAGTAAATAGAGGATTCTCAAAAGCTAAGAAATTGTGGCGATCAGCAGCCCTCAACAAGCTGGTCTCTGGAGCCCCCACTCTCTTAAAAATATTGCCACAAAGAGCTTCAGGTTGCCTAAGTTACAGCACTTACCACGTGAAAAATTGAAACTGAGAAAATGTTCAAACAGGAAAACACATAAGCCCTCATCCATTGCCCAAGAAAGCCTCACATCAATTCTGGAAAACTCCACTGTGTGTTAGTAAGAGAAGCAGGCTTTTAAAATATATTCAAATGCGTGCGTGTGTGTGTGTGTGTGTGTGCGTGTGTGTGCGCGCGCGGGCGCGCACAGAGGGGTTAAGGATTGGCGGAGGGGTGGTAATCATAGATTGCACAATTTGATGGGTGGAGAGAGGGATGGGTAAAGGAAATGGGAATGATTCAGTGTGAAAATCAATGTATACAAACTTTGTATTTTATTTAAAAAATTATAATGTGTATAAGTGATTGTATGAAACACAATGTAAATGAAGCATTGTATAAAATACAATGTACATGAATGAAACACAATGTGAATTACTGTACACAAACCAATTAATAAATGAAACAATTAAATAAAAAATTTAAAAAATAAAAGACAAATGTTGTTCCTAGGTGCCGCCTAGGAATGAATGAGGATGAATGAAGCCCTTCCTTGCTGTCTTCACACGCACTCGCCAGGTGTGAGTCTGTACACTGTATCGCAATGTTGCAGTCCATAGGGTTTTCAATGGCGAGTTTTTGAAAGTAGACTTCCAGGCCTTTTTTCCTAGTCTGCCTTGGTGTGAATCCTGTCCACTGTGGGTGACCCTGCTGGTATTTGAACACTCAGTGATATGGTCTCCAGCATCACAGTACACAAGCCACTACAGGAAAACAACTGCAACTAAGTGGCAGAGAAAGGCAACCAACACTGTAACGTCATCACAAAGTAATGTTAGTCTTGACCTTGCACAGCCCCTCTGAAAAGTCTCCGGCCTCCCAGGGACCCTGAACACACTTAGGAACCACTGCCTGGTTCAGTCTCCCCAAGAACCACTCGGCTTAGACCTGTCAGAGAAGAGGCAAAGAGGAGGTGCAGGATCGCTCCATAATCAACACAGACACATAGAATCTGCTATTACGTTTCTTACATAGACACACTTTGTCATATGGCTCTTGACTCTCTGCACATCAAATAGTGCTTTTTCACAAAGTGAAGGTTTGTAGCAACCTTTCATCGGGCAAGTCTGTAACATCAACATTTTCCTAATAACAAGTGATTAACTCTTGTCTCTGCCACATTTTGACCATTCCTTCTCACTGTATTTGAAGCTTTTTCATAACAATATAGCTGTTCTGAAGAAGGATGGGAAGTCCCCTTCCTTGTATGTGGGACAGATCACCCAGGAGGCTGGGCTCGAGGAGGAGGAACGTGGCATCAGGATTGGAAGAAGACTCATCAACGACCTGAGTTATGCGGATGACACCGCCTTGCTTGCAATAACTGAGGAGGACATGTAGAAGGCCAAGGACTATAGCGTTCAATATGGCTGGAAGCTCAATACCAAGTAAACAAAGATTCTCACCACTGGCCCAATTGGCAGCATCACGATACACGGTAAAGAGATTGAGATTACTGGAAGCTTCAGTTTGCTTGGCTCCACAATCAACACTCTTAGTATCAGCAGCCAAGAAATCAAGAGAAATTGCGTTAGGTAAGTCTGCTGTCAGGGACCTCACAAGAGTACTGTAGAGCAATGATGTCAGACTGGAGATTAAGGTGCACCTGATCCAGGCTATGGTCTTCACAATTACTTGCAATGCATCAGAAAGCTGGACAACGACTAGGGGTAATAGAAGGAAAATTGATGCCTTTGCGCTGTGGTACTGGAGAAGAGTATTGAATATATCATGGACTGCTAGGAGAACAAACAGGTTCATCCTAGAAAGGGTGAAACCAGGCTGCTTCTTGGAGACAAGGATTCTGAAGTTTTGTTTGACATACTTTGCACATGTTGCAAGGAGGGACCAGTCCTTGGAGAGGGACATCATGCTTGGGAGGGTGAAGGGACAGCGCAGGAGAGGAAGACCCTTTATGAGGTGGATTGATTCAGTGACTGGGGTAATGAAGGTAGGTGTATTCGAGGCAATCAATAAGCTTGGTTCAGGATAGAACAAGGTTCAGAGCTGTTGTACATAGGGTCATTATTAGTCTCAAGCAATACAATGGCACTTTAACAACCACCTCCTGGGTCATCTGCCGCCTGAGAAACCAACTGGCGGGTCAGCTGTGTGAGTTGTTGAGCTGAGAGGATAAGCCGAATGTTGATGTTCTTGGCTGAGCGTTCAGGACAAGAGAAGGGGTACAGGGCTGGCCTTACACAGTGATCACTTCTCAAAGGAAGGACTAGGCCTCACGTGTCTTCTTGGTTCTGGGAGTGACCAGAGAATGGCTATCTATGTCTGGTGACTGCTGAGAGAGTAGAAGGGGTGTGGGGGTGGGCAAGGACACAGCACCCCAACAGGATACCAAAAATACCCCTGTAGAAAACAAAATGACGTTTGTGTACAAAACAACACACCTTCTTATTCATTCACATATCCCACCAGGACAGGAGTCAGCCCTCACCTGTGGGCCTGGTCATCGTTTCCACTGTCACTCTTTTCCACCCCGAGTAATTCACAGATTTCTGGCTTTGAAGTGGAAGGGAAGAAACAGAACAACAGTCGCCCTAAAAGGAATGAGGAAGTGAGAGCCCCAGTCTGGCGGGCTCTCTCTGGGTGACAGCTCCTGACGCCTCTTCCGGAGGCAGTGAAGGTCTGAATTTCCACCTGCCCCGCCTGCTATAACTGGTCCATGTGCAGCCAGCGCCGCTCATTTGACTTTCAGCAGAGCACCAGTCACAGCCCCGGGTCATGCTGCACTGTCTCTTGTTCACAGCTGACGGGAGGTGAAAGAGCGCAGCCTTCAGAGCCTCCCAGGGTGAGTACTGCAAATGAAAACTATAGTCTTGCCTTAAATGTGAGGTCATGTGGTGATGAGCTGTTTGGTGAGGCAGGGCAGCCGCAGAGGTCTGCACTTCTGGGGCAGCGACTCCACGGATGTTGTCCTTGTTTTATGAGAACTCTGCCAAAAAATAAACAGCTGGGTCCTGGAGGAGGTGCAGCCAGGATGCTCCTCGGAGGCAAGGGTGGTGAAGCAGTCTCTCATACTTCAGACATGTTGCTAGGAGAGGCTGTTCCTTGGAGAGGGACATCATGCTTGGACAGGGGGAAAATCAGCAAAAGAGAGGAAGATTCTCAACCAGGGGGATTGATACAGTGACTGCAGCAACGAGCTTGAGTGTGTCAGGGATGGTGAAGACGGTACGAGACAGGGCAGGGCTCAGCTCTGCTGTTCTTAGGGTCGCTGTGGGTTGTATTCGACTCAACAGCTTATTCACAAAGTATCCTACAGAAAAGTTTTCTCCTTTTTTTGGATCAAGTCAAGAAAATGTACTTTACTACATTGCTTGCTACATAGTGAATATTCAAAGAAAAATTTGGGTTTTTTTCCCCTGTAACTGCTGTTCAGATCCTCTCTTGGAGGCAAAGTGATAATGAAGCGCATATTTGGGAAGGGTAAACGTTGTTGGGTTTAAATCCTTTCAAAAGAAGGGTACACAAATACTGTTCTTTGCCACTTAAGATAGCTGGTAATCTCTAAGTCACTTGTAAATTTTCTGTTCATGTCTAACAGTTTGGAATGTTATCTGTTGGCAAAGTGGGGCTGAAATTGGTTGAATTCTCATCTGTGTGCATCGTAACTCTTCGCCACTTTGATTGGTTATAGACAGACCCACAGCTCAAACAGACCCACAGCCCCCGGAGCTCAAACCCTCCGCCAGACAGCCAGCCAAACCCCGATGAAGGTGACCAGCAGCTGCCATGCTGTACGTACCCCCAGACCCCGATTCACTCATGTTTTTCTAGAAGTAAAAGTCAAAGATGTTTTCCTAACTTTATTTTTCTTTTTCTCTTTTAGTCAAAAACACTAAATGTCAATGGTATGGAGACATTCGGGAGGTGTCAATCAGAGGTAAGAGTCATTTGTAAAGCCTTTTTTACCTGCACTGGGAAAGCTCTTTCTCTGCAGTAGGACTCTCCTTTTCTATTCTACTTGAATCTCATTTGGATTGTTTTATTATCAGAGTGAACATTAGTGCCATGAATACAGCAAATTAGCATTAGTTGGGATTATAGATGACAAAAACCTACTGTCACTGAGACAATTCTGGTTCATGGTGACCACTGCGACAGAGCAGAACTGCCCCATTGGGCTTCTGAGGTTATAATTCTATTTGGGGGGCAGACTACCATATCTCTCCGAAGGGGCAGCTGGTGGTTTTGACTTCAAGACTCAGAGGTTAGCAGCCAAGTGTTTTGACCACTGTGTCACTATGCTCTCATATATGATGATAATCAACAATTATAATTGTAATTATAATTTATAATTTTATAATTATAAATTCTAGAGGTCAGGGGGACATTGACAAACTGTGCTGACTTGATCTTTAATATTAATAAAACAGTGATGTGTTCCATGGGGAAAGATTTCCACCACAGTTTTTAAGTGAAACAAATGTACTTTCAGGGTGACATCAAGGAACATCCCCTGTTGGCATCATGTGAGAGTGAAGACAGCACGTGCCAGCTCATTGGTGAGTTTTGAAAACATATTCATCTTTCATAGAAGTGCTTATGACCAGGGTTTTTGGTTTGCAAAACCACAGAACTTTGCCAGGTTTTTGTTTTTCTTTAAGATGTTTTTTAAAGACTGTGAAGAATTAACTCCTTAGCGGCAGGCAGACTCCAGCTTGCTGGAGGAGTGCAGAGCCCAGTAGCAAAGCTCCGACCTCTAACAGATCTCCCGGGTTCCCACAGCATTCTTAGTGGAGCACACAGACCTCCTGGCTACTTAAGTTTACAGTCTGAGAGTGTATTTACATGGTGTCTTCTGATGCTCTTCCTTCTTTGATTGGGAGTGTGAATCCAAGAGCCGGTAAAGCGTGTGTTATTCATGTCACATCCCAGATAACCTGCCGGTCTCCCTTCACAGTTGTGCATGATGCATTTTATTAATATGGAACCTTGACCCGGCTCTATCTGGGTCTAAGGACTCCTGTCTGCTCTAACTGAATCACTGGCTTCTGGCCTCTTTGACTTGCCTGTATAATATGTGTAGGAATATATGACAAGCATTTAGAACAAAAAACGAAGAAGGAACTTGTGAGCTCTTACACCCACTGCATTTGGCTTTAGGAAAGGCTGTCTTGGGAATGGTCTTGTGATGAAACTCTGTCACCAGAACCAGCAGCAGTAGGTTCTTATTGTAGTGAACTGTTGTCATGTCAAGTCCAACCCATAGTGATGCTGGCAGCACAGATTAGGTTAAATGCTCACCTATGAGGCAAAAGGGAGCTCTGTTGGCCTTGTGGTAAGGAGCTGCACTGCCAACCCAAAGTCAAGCAGTTCAAATCCACCAGCTGCTCCGTGGTAGGAAGATGGGCAATCTCCTCCCGTGTGATTTACTGCCTCTGAAACCCCGCTGGAAGGTCAGTTAACTGTTGGTTCTGACTTGATGGTACATAACAGCATAGCAACACTAACCAAAAGGTTGGCAGTTCAAATCCATCCAGAGGCATTTGGGAAGCCATGCCTAGAAATCTGGTTCTGATAGGTCCCAACCTCGCAGACCCTAGAGTGCAGTTCTGCTCCGACTCTTGGAGTGGCTATGAGCTCATCTTGTTCAGACCTAGAGGGGCCATCTGAGCAGAGATGACCACAGGACACAGGGGCCATGCAGTGCTCCCCCTAGTGGCTGGTTAGTGCTGGTGCTGCTACAGAAGCTAAGGGCATTTCCAAGTTGTCTTGAGCAAGTGACTTCCTGTCTTGCTCACAAGTTTCGTTTCTTCAGGAGCTGAAGAGACAAAATAAAATAATCTGTTTCACCCCAGAAATATCCACTCTAGTTATAAAGGCCAACATGCGAAGCTGGTTGTTTATGTCCTGCTTGTTGCCTTCATGGTCCCCAGCAAACAGTAGGCAAGGCTGAAAACAGGAAAGGCGGAGTCTTTGAGGAACCTTGGTGTTGGTGTTTAGAGGCCGGTTGCCCTGGTAACCATGTGGTTGTTTTCATTCAATTTGGTTTTTCTAGGTTAGGATTCACACTCTTCGCTTTCTCAGTTTGTCTGACATTCAAGGTTTTTTTACCTCCAGTGTGATGACACTGTGGCTGGATCTTTCCTTGTCAGTACCTTCAAGTCACCCTGCTCTTGACCTTGTTCCCTCACCTGCAGAAATCAAGAAGCGAAAGAAGACACTTGCCTGGTCCTCTCTCATGCGGAAGCTTTCTCCATCGTCGGATTTTTCTGGAGCATTGGAGCCAGAATTGAAAGCATCACTGTTTGACCAGCCCTTGTCCTCCATCTGTGGAGAGGACCATACACTCCCCAGACCTATCCAGGTAGATGGATATTTTACCCAGAAACCAACCTTCATTTTCTGTCAGATGGGATCTTGATGTCTTCCCATACTAAGCTATTTGGATTGATCTTGAGAGGGTGTTTCCTCTGGGGGGAAAGCCTTCCTGCTGATGAGTGTATATTGGGAGAAAATTAGGTGTTTATGGGATTAAAATGAGTTGACCCTGAGTTAAAAATGATGGTCTCTCTGTAGCTCTCAAACCTCTGGCCTCACAGAATTACCAGTGCTGAAAATTTAGGGCTTCAGAAAAACTCACAGACATTGAGTATAAAATCTATTATTTAAAGTCCTTGAAAGACTTGAGAGAGAGGAAGCCTAAAGTGAGGTGAGAATGAGATTTTTTTTAACCCTCAAAACTTAATTTTATTGAATAAAGATCATTCAGGGTTTACATAAGAATAGATTATAATAGCTGTGAAATCAATAACAGATTGGAAACAAGAAAGTAGTTTATATTTTCACTGTAGGGGAAAAAACCCCTAATTGTTACAGATGCCTTGCAAAGATCTTAAACAAGGTCTAGCCAAGTTTATTGTTCATCGATTTTCTTTTCTTTTTTTAAGGGATGAAAAGTAAGATTAAATGTATATGCTACTGGTCACAACTAACATAATAGCTAAGGGGAAAATCATTAGACAGAAGCATAAATAACAATATAAAAAGATGGATTTTAAAACCTTATTATAGGAGTGTTAGCTATGGTAAGTGGAAAAGATACATTAAGACCAGGAGAATGAGAATTTTTAAATGGGGAAAATGAGAGCTTCAAGAATTTTCCTCCATGTGGAAAAAAAGGCAGGCTGAGAGGCGGTTAACAGTAACCTAGCAAAAGGAAAAACAGACATGAATACCTTCTTTCAGGGACCATCTTAGTGTTTCTGAGAAGAAAACTAACACTTATGGCAAAAACACTTTATAACAAGAATCCATTTATGACAGAGCTCATTTAAATGGGTTACTATTCATGTGTCATTCACTTTCTCCAGCCCACCACAGACGGATTAGCTATGTATCAGTGTAAGTCTTCAAACCAAGGGTAACCATTTCCTGTCCCTACTCCTATCTCCTCAGGACATCCTTGCTGTTCTGTGCCTCAAAGGCCCATCAACTGAAGGAATATTCCGGAAAGCAGCTAACGAGAAAGCCCGCAAAGAGCTTAAAGAGGCGCTCAACGCGGGGGGCAACGTACACTTGGAGGACCGCCCTGTCCACCTGCTGGCCGCAGTCTTCAAGGTAAGCCCACAGCCTTCACATCAGGACAGCTTGTCATCGGCCTCAGAAGTGGAACTCCCCCCAGCGTCACAGGAGGCCCACCCTGGGCTTTAACTCCTTCAGTGAAGCCATTGATCTGTTGATTTATTCGTTCATGATGAATTATATAGACTCAAATCCATATACAGCCACTGAGATCATTCTGACTCAGGATGACCCTCTACCAGGTTTCTCAGGCTATAAACCTTTATGAGGGGGAGAGCGTGGATTTGAACTGCTGGCCTCTCAATTAGCAGCCCAACATTTAGCGCACTAAATCGCTCCAACACTTTACAATAGAGTATAAACAGAACTCCTATGCACTCAGGACCCCCCAAATTCCTGTGATTTGCTTTCTTGAGATACTTAATTGTGGTAGCCTAGAACTGGGTCTGAAACTTCTGCATGATAGATATTACATTGTATTATATGTATGTGTGTTATATTTTATATATTTACTTTTTACAAATATAATTTCTTTCTTTATAATAAATTGCATCCCTATTTCTATGATACAATATTCCATTAGAAAGAGATGTATAAATCTCCCCCAAAATATGAAAGTAAAGTGCCTTTGACAGCCAGCAGCCCCCCAGAGTCCACCTGAAGCCCCTCTGTGTCCATAGCCAGGAAGTTGCTGAGGGGCAGGGGTTAGGGAGGCTCCCAGATGATCAGCTCAAGAAGGAAGGGGCGCAGGCTGTGTGGGAGATGGGCACTGAGCTCCAGAGAGTGGACAAGTGTGAGGGGACAGTGACGTGAGGGGACAGGGCTTGTGTCCCACACACAGGCCTAACGGCACTGCCTCCTCTCCAGGACTTCCTGCGGAGCATCCCTGGAAAGCTGCTGTCCAGCGAGCTGTTTGAGGATTGGATGGACGCCCTGGATGGACCGAATGAGGAGGACAGAATCGAGGCCCTCAAAGAGTAAGTCATCAGCAAGCACCTTCCGAGTCTTGTGAAGTGCTTCACGATTTACACGTCATCAAAAGGTTGACGCTCAGGGAATTGCTAACCTAATTCCACACTAACGCCAGGAAGTAGCCAGCGGAGGTTTAAAGTAAGTGGCTTTGGCCAAGTGGGAGGAAGGACAGCTCCGAAATACAAAGTGAACTTCAAAAATTCACAAATATCTAGAGGACTGGGAATCTAGAAATAGAATTAGTTCAAGAAGATAAAGGCATAGGAATGGGCTGATCAGCAGAGAGCTGTGTCTGGGGATGTCCTTGACCTCTGGAGGATGTTTATTCCATAAATGCCATGTAAATGCTGCCGTGCAGGGGTCAGTTCTCCCACGCCGGCTGCCTTACGGCCCAGCAGTGCAGGGTGAACCGACCTGGCCAGATGATTACTCAACCAAATGATGGTCAATTCCTAAAGACAAACCAGGGAGCTCAGTGCGGGCCCTGCCACATCACTGAAGATCTGGGTACAGAGAGAGGACTTTGTGGTTGTCGTGTGATTATAAAGGCCCAGCTCTCAGGCCTCAGACCCCTGCGGTTGACCAGTTGCATCTCACGTCCACTGCCACTGAAAGTGTCTGAATGGGTATTACACAACAGGGCTTGGGAAATCAGCAGCTTCCTCATTTTCCAGGAAGCTGTCTTTGAACAGAAACCTCTGAACTAAAACCCTGAGCCCCCTTTCAAGCCTCTCCTTCCTGCCTCTTGCCAGGGTTGCAGGCAGACTTCCCCGACCCAACCTCGTGCTGCTCAAACACTTGGCGTCCGTGCTGTATCTCATCAGCAAGAACTCAGGCACCAACAAGATGGACCCGAGCAACCTGGCTATCTGCATCGGGCCCAACGTGCTGGCCCTGGAGAACGACCGGAGCCTGTCATTGGAGGCCCAGAAGGACCTGAACAACAAGGTTAGTTCACGTTTACAAAGATCTCACCGTCTGTTGCAAAAGCCACACCATGGAACACTTCTGCATTCTTCCAACTGGATCTCAGTCCTGGAGGGGCTGGGACACAAACGCAGAACGCTTGTATCAGAGTCCCACTCTCTCACCACGGTGCTGTTGGCCACTGGTGTGGAGTCAGCCCCCAAGTTAGGGCCACCACTCAGCACCCATGGAAGGGCATGCTGCCCAGGCCCGTGTCCAGGCCTTTCTTCCTAGTCTCTGCCTGGAAGGTTAATGAAACCTATTCAGGATCATCGCCCACTCCAGCCTCCTCTGATAGCGGGTGGTGGTGGCACCTGAGTGTACTGACCAGAAATCAGGCTCACCTCTCGATTGGAAGATGCAAAGTTCTACCACTGACCTGCCCATGGCCACCCCCTTATCACAAGCATTTGATGGAAACAAATAGGCATAAACCCACATCCTCTGTCGTCCTCTAAATGGAAGGCATGGGCACTAGATTGTTTTAATTGTGTGTATCTGTGGATCACACTGCCAATAACAACTATGATTGTTAGTAACTGTCTCCTTAAGTGAAAATTTTAGTAAAAGGCTAGAGAGAGAAAGAGAGACAAAGAGAGAAAATCCATGTTGCAAAAACAGTAAAAACAAAACTATAACATCCTTTATGTGTTTGAAAAGTAATTTCCTAATAAATCATGAAATTTTATGTACAAAATATAGATTAAAGTTCACAATGTATACTAGCAATTTCTGCACTTTTCAAGTCTTCAAGTCTCTTTCTGGCACTTCCCTGGTAGTTGACTCCCATTGTAGTCCGAGGAGAAGGACTTCATGCTTTGCAAGGTAGAGGGTCAAAGAGAGATGCTTAGCGGGCTGGAGCAGCAGGTCTGCAGCAGTGGGCTTGGGCACAGCAAAGGCTACGAGACTGGTGCGGGACTGGTCAGGGTTTTGTGCTGTTGTTCTTCGGGTCACAGCAAGTTGGAGCCAACACAAGACACCCAACTATACCACAGCCCCTTCTTCTCCACTCACTGCCCTCCAAAACCCCTAAGAAACAATCTCCCAGCTTAGTGTTTGCTCCCCTCACAGGTCAAGATGCTGGTGGAATTCCTCATCGAGAACTGCCTTGAAGTCTTCGGGGAGAACGTCCCCGCGCCTTCCAGCGTCACTTCGGATGACTCCCTGGAGCACACGGACAGCTCAGGTAAGGCCGTGTCACCTGTGATCAGGGTCTCATAGCTGAGAACAGCCCTGGGGTGTGGCTGGGCAAGCACTCTACCAGCATCCCCACAGGGCGGTCCTTCAAGTGGAAAACTAGCCAGCCTTTCCTGCAGCGCCTGCTGCAACTCCTGACTACATCCTGCTCCTTCCCGCTTAGATGGGACTAACTGCTTGAAACAAACAAACAGGCGTGGCTATGAGTCCACGCAAAGTGACCCAATCAGACAGAGAAAAGAAGGGAAAAAAACCCCTATTATCCTTAAGTTGGTTTTTACTCATACTGCCTGTGTGGGACATGGAGAAGGTTCTCAAAGGCGTGATCTTTAAGGAGCAGACCCTCAAGTCTTTTCTCTCTCAGACCAGTTGGTGGGGCTGACCTCTCAACCTTTCACTCAGCAGCCGTGTGCTTACCCACTGGGCCATTACGGCTCCTTGACCAACTGCTGGACGTACTGACTAGCCTTTCCCCAGAGGTGGTGCTGTCCACAGGGGAATTGTGCTGAACAAAGCTGGCATCCAGTGGTTCGAATCCACCAGCTGCCCTGAGGGGAAGGATGGGCTGTCTCCTCCCAGCTTGTCGGGATTCACAGCCTCTGAGAAGCCACTGCAGGAGCTGCAGTGAGTCCATTCCAGGTCAACAGCAGTGAGGCTGAGTTTTCTTTATAGGTTTGGAGTAGGAAGCCTTTGTGCCCGCTTTAGTAGAACATGGGTCTGAAAACATGGACCTGTGGATCCACTGTCAAGTTTACGATCAATACATTTCAGTGACATTTGTTCTCATTACTCACTTGCTCTCTCTCTCTCTCTCTCTTCTCTCCCCTCCCCTCTCCCACCTCCCCTCTCCTCTTCTTCCCTCCCCTTTTCTCTCCTATCCTCCACTCTACTCCCCTTCCTTCCCCTCCCCTCTCCTTTCCCCTTTTCTCCTCTCTCCTCTCCTCTCCTCTCCTCTTTTTTCTCCTCTCTTCTCCTCTCCTCTCCTCTCCCCTCCCCTCTCCTCATACTTCTCATTTGAATCTCAAAATTTTGGGTTTAGAAAGAACTCTGTATGCATGTGGTACAGTTCTTGTCATGTTGTTGTTGACTGCCATTGAGTTGAGCACAACTCATAGCGACCCCAGGAACAAAAGGCCTGAAATCGTTCTATAACTATCAATATTTCTCAAAGTTCATAGTTTCCAGAGGCATGTTGTTTAGGCAGTGGGCGCCACAACTGCTTCCAAGCAAACCCACAAGTGGCTCTGCCAAACTGTTTGTACATCATTGGCCTGAACACGGTCAATTGCACTGAAGTCTATTTCTAACGGAAACCAGACAGAGAACTGACCTATGTCTTACCTTCCCCCAGACGTGTCGACTCTGCAGAACGACTCGGCCTATGAAAGTACAGACCCTGAGGCAGAGGCCAGCAGTGTCACCAGCTCCCCGAGCAGCCAGCCCACCGAGACAGAGGCCAACACGGACAACAGCGGGCCACCATCCCCATGTGAGTCAGGCCTGAAGCCGCGGCCCATCCCCAGCACCGTGGCCCGGCTGAAGACCTCCCTTAGCCAGGCGGACAGGAGGCACTCGGAACCCAGCATGTCCTCCTCGCGAGCGTACCTGGAGAGCCGCATGACCAGCCACAAACTCACAAAGAGCGAAGACAACTTCCCCATGACCCAGACAGGTGCTGGCTTTGGAAAGGAGGACACAGATGACCTATTTCCGGAGGAGGTCTTCCCTGGCCTAGAAGGTCAACCCAAAAGACCAGAGGACCTCAAGCCCAAGAGCGTGACCCCAGGGCCTGGCTTCCCTCGGGCACTGGTGGCCAAGGCCATGTTCAGTGCCTCCTGGAGTGGCTCCTCTGACAGTATCCCCAGGGCCTCTCCTTCCAGTCCCAGTCCCCAAAGGAATTTCTTCACCAGACACCAATCCTTCATTGCAAAGACTGAGAAGACCACGGCCAAGGCCAGCCGAGAAATCAAGAAGCACTCCCTGTCCTTCTCCTGGGCCCCTCACAAAGCGTCCGGCTCCAGGGCTGAGAGGCACAAAGGCTTTCCTAGAGACCAGGGGAAGCCCTTGAGGAAAGAGAGCCAGCTTGCTGGCCGCATAGTCCAGGAGAGCTGGTCTGAAGCCCACAGCCAGCCAGCTCGGGACTCCAGCTCCAGGGCCTGTGGGCTCTCAGTGGACGATGTGTTCCAGCATGTGGACCAGAGAGTCCCTGGAAGCCCACCCTCTTATGAGGAGGCTGTTCAATGTCAGGCATTCGAACTTGCTGACTACAAGAACCAGACCGTCGGAAATATGAGGGCCAGAATGCTCAGTCTAGACTCCGTGCGCCCAGCCCTCCGGCCTTCTCGCCAGGAGGAGGGCTCCACAAACACAGGCAGTCACGGGCCCTTGACCAGGCAGAGACCTTCTCCTTTGACGGGAAGCTGGGAACAGAGTGGGACTATGTGTGTGAATGTGGAATCAGGAGAGGCGGTGGCTGTACCAGGCAGATCTGCCCTTCATCGCCTGAGAACTGAGTCAGAGACCCTACCCAAGACCAAAAAGGACTACCTACTACGACGGTGCAGCCAGCCGGTCTTCGAGGTTGGCCAGCTCCAATATACCAGAGAATCTTACATTTAGGAAGGCAGGCCTGCCACCAGAACAGAGCTCACAGGACTTCTGTAAATACCTGTGAGCATACAGAACTTCTTTCAGGTCGTTTTCAAATTAAAGTCAATCATAAGCTGCTATAGACAAGGATACTGCAAGGGTGGAGTCTATGTGCACCTGAACTTGTGCAATATGTAACACATGTAGAAAATGTAACAAATGTATAGAATGTGTCATACACAAGGCATTGTGAACTTAACCATGTATCTGTGTTTGTTTGTGTGCTTAAGGTAAACTAAATTGTTGATTTTTGCCTTCCAGGGCACTTTTTTTACCAGAGTTTAAAAAGACTATTTTCTTCTTTTTATGTTGCATCAAATGTATGTCATTTTTCATATGTTCTCTAAAATCCATTTGGGGGAAAAATGTCTAAATCTCTTTTAGAAGCTGATGGTAACATGTAGATTTCTTATCATTACAGTATAAAATACGAAAGTGAAATCAGGAAGCTAGAGTTTTATGCTGGCAGTTTTTGATGTCATGAAAAATACCAGTAAGAGAAGAATCATGAAATTTTTCATCACTAAAATATATTCAAAATATACTCAATCCTTAACTTAAATTTGAAAATGTGGCTTTATTAGTGAAAATGCATACATTATTATCAAACCACTGTAGCACTGTTGAGTTCCTCTGTAGTTCTGCGTGGTCTTACCCAACAGTGTGATGGTAAACATTATGTGCGCGCTGGGGTCGTGTGAAGCTTCAGTGTTATGTCACTACAATAAACAGTCTTCCTTATTTGAAAGCACAAATGTTCCTTTTTCACTGATCTTATGCCTTCTCCTTAGTTAACAGAAATTCATCAGCAACTTCGTTCACACATTTCTTCATTCCATGAGCATTTATAGAGTCTGTGCTCCTTGTTTGAGGTCTCCAGTAAGACTGGGAATCTTGTGGATTGTGAAATACAATTTCTATTCTTCTGAAATTTGGAAAAACCACTTTAAAAATATTCATTTTACATGGTGCAACCCCTGTGGAAAGCAGTATGGCGCTTTCTCAAAAAGTTGCAAATAGAGATACCATTTGACCCAGCAATTCCACTACTGGG